TTACACCTGTTCCTAAGCAGTTGCTAGGGTATTCTGATGGTTGCTAGGCTGTTGCTTGATGGTTGCTATAGTATTCTGAGTTGTTAGTAGGTGGCTACTGGGGTGTTCTGAGTGTTTACACATATTGCTAAGCAGTTGCTAGGGTATTCTGATTGTTGCTAGGCTGTTGCTAGGTGGTTTCTATGGTATTCTGTGTTGTTACTAGGTGTTTGCAGGGGTGTTCTGGGTGGTTGCTAGGCTGTTGCTTGGTGGTTGCTATGGTATTCTGTGTTGTTACTAAGTGGTTGCTAGGGTGTTCTGGGTTGTTACTATGGTGTTTTGGATAGTTGCTGGATAGTTTTTATAAAATTAAAAATGAATGTTAAATTGAGGATTTGCTCTGCATTGCGAGTTTTTATCGGATGATTGGCAGTAAGATTTTATGACGATTTACCCGCCAATGCCAGCAGCAGCTCGCCCAGACTCTGCTGGTATAGATCAAGCGTGTCGTAGTCCTCGGCGCCGCTCTCCTTCTGCACACACAACTCCATTACCCATCATGCAACACTGCAGCTCACATGACACACATGCAAATGAGCCGTTGCAACACTTACCCGGGCAACAGCAGTGGACGCCACTTCCAGGGCCGCCAGAAAACGCGGCTGATCTCTGGACATTTCTGTGAACGCAACGAAGATCTCAACGTCAGAACTGGAGTGAGATATTAGATATTAATAATGCAGCACTGCTTACATATCAATATGTTCCTGGTTGATTTTGCCTCCTCAAAACTGATCTTGTTGTCCGATCTGACCAGCGCTTTGAGCTCCTCGGCACGAGAAACATACTGATTCACCTGAGAGAAAACAAATGAGCATCCAGAAAACTGGATCAGTGTTAAGAACTAAGTTTATAATTGACAGTTCGCAAAAAGCTTGATTGACAGGCGATCTGACCAATCATAACGCAGAATCCACCATCTTGTCCGGCAAACAAATCAGACAGGAGACTAGATTAACTTCGGAGGACTTAAACTTGAAAAATGTTGTGTATTTACTAGAGATGTAACGATATTATCAATATCGTGATATCGCGATAGCAAAACTGTCTCGATATTGTCGTGGTCACAGTTATGCTTTATTTTCGCAGCAGATGATGACAGCATTTCACTAGATTTGTAGTAAGACGTGTTTTTGTAAGCCTGTTTTCACTAAAGCTAGAGTTTTCCTTCAAAATAAAAGCTCTACTGCCGTTTCTGTCAAAATAAAAGCTTAAAGTGCAGCATGAATTACTGACAGCTAGCGGTTTAAATGTAGTCCAAATTCAAAATATCTCTTTCAAGTGTAGAAATTAGGAAAGAAGTATTGTAATTTCCCTGCTGTAGTGTAAAGCAAAAAAAATATACCTATGAAATATTCATTTTCATTTATTTTACAGTGCAATTGTTTAACAATATATGACTATTACTGTTATTATTATTATTATATTCTAATTTGTTTGGCTTCCTAAAACACCAGTGTGGATGTAATTTAGACTGAGACAGTATATCATAACTAAAGAGTCCCTTTTAACTTTTCTTAGTTAACATGGGTTGGCGCTCTTAATTTCGAACTCTCAAAGTGCATTGGATAGAATAATTTAACTAAAATGTACAAAATTTTATTTTTTTTCCGCCAATTCTTCATTTGTCTTTTTTTTTTTAAATATCGCAATAAATACCGTACCGTGCGATATTATCGTATCGTGAGATTTTGATATCGTTACATCCCTAGTATTGACGTCTCACCGCGGTTGAAATAAAATACCTTCTGATGTTCATTCACTTTTATTTCGTGCTTCAAGTAAATATGAAAAGACGATCGGTTCAGGCGCGACAGTGATCTGTCACGACACATTAAAGAGACACAAAACGGTATTTATTGTTTGAATTTCTTAAAAAGTGACAAAGTTTGAAAGCTGAGACCTGGTTTCGTACCTAAAGTAACCTTCTCTGTCTTGTCTGTCGGCATGTTGTCAGTATTTCTCACTGCGTGAGAACATGATGTGTAGCGTGAGAGCGGCTTGGCTTGTCGGACATAGCAACAGTAACTAAGGAGGGTGGGTTTTTGCCCCAGTTCCCACGGGTTTGGAACGACATGATTTCTTTACCTTCTGTCTCAGTGCTTCCTTCCTCTGTCTGTCTGTCTCATCTGAAAGAGCAGAGACAGAGATGATGAGAGTGGATTGTGACTCGAGTAACAGAGAGACGCTCGTGTCTTACAGTGAATGGCAGGAACGAAGTGTTCGAGTGCACTACAGTAGAGAGATAACGCAGCCGATCGCTCTCCATCCTGGTCCTTCTGCACCGCCTGCAACACCAGCGCTTTCTAGAAGACAAATACAGTTCACACACCGCAAAACGTGACTTTCTTCCTCAGTATTTCTGTCTTGTTTTCCACTGCGAATGTCTGAACATTCTTACATCAACAAGCACAACTGTATAAGATACCATGTCTTGTTTACTGAAACAATTATCAAAATGAAGTGAGTTTACGCTTATAACAAGAACAAACATCTGTCGGTAAAGTCTGAAAAATAATCTTTAAATTTAGTTCATTTTTCTGATCTCACTGACAGATATTTTTCTGGGTTTAAGCATAAACTCACTTTGTTTTGTTTAATTTTTCAGAAACCAAGACTTAAGAAATTACATATTTGTATTGAAAAACAAGACAAAAATAATAAGAAAGAAATATTTTTTTACACTGCAAAAAAAATGCAAAAAACATTCTTAAGTCTAGATACATTTACTTCATATTAAGTCTTGTTTTCTGAAGAAATGTATAAAAAATGAAGTGTTTTTTCCTTAAAATGAAAATAAAATATTTGCCAATGGGGCAAGAAAAATTATCTTGTTTTCTTTTTGAGTTAAGATTTGTTTCTTACACCATTTGCAGATATTTTTCTTGTTCTAAGCAAAAACTAACAACATATTGAGAAATCTTTCAGAAAACAAGATGTAATATCTTCAATCATTTTGAAGAAAGAAATTAAAGCATTTAAAAAAAAAAGTAAAGCATTTTAGATAGTTGTATTGAACAACATGACTAAAACACTAAGTTAGAAAAGTATATTGCAGTGTTTAACTGATGTTTGTCATAATTACACATGCATTTAGAGAAAAGTGCAGCTTACAAACTAAATCAACATATGCACATCTCATGAATATCTGAACAATGCAACATTTGATTCTTAAAATTAAAGACTAATGCTTTTTTAAGTGGATTTGAGAACAGTTTCACTCAAACAATGCAATGCAAATGACTACAGACGTTTATGTAAATGAGTATGGCTAATAAGAATAATAACTATAAAATGCCTACTTAAAATCTGAACAGAATCCATATTTTATTAATGTTTCGCTTTAAATGATACTAGGAAATGTTTTTACTCAAAAAAAAAAACACATTTTTTTAAAGGTTTCTCCTGTGAAAATATAATTTTTGAAAGATTGTAAATAATTGTTATATTTATTTTTTAATTTTAAATTATTGTATAAAAAGTATTAAATTTTAACATTCTTGAGTTTGCCACAAATATAGCCTTTGATGATGATATGACTTAAAAAATAATAATAATAATAATAAATCTTGCATTTCCAGCAAATGAAAAAAAAAAAAAGCTTTTTATAACATTGAATGTGTTTTTAATAAAAATAACATTGATTATGATAAGGAAACTCCTTTGTTTATGTGTAGCAATGTAAACACAAATCAGTGAGTCAGATGTTGATTCTCACCTCGATGGGTTTCTCACTGCGGATCTTCTCTTCTAGTTTAGCGAATGAGCGAGAGGCGAAGGGGGCTCGTCCAAATAATGCTTCTGCCCTCAAAAAACACACATATATATATAATAAATGATCTGTGGAGTATTTTGAGCTGAAACTTCACAGACACATTCTGAGGACACCAGAGACTTATATTACATATTCTAAAAAGGGGCATAATATGTCTCCTTTAAATCTTATTTATTTATATTTCTTATCAAATATGAAATTGTGTTTTTGTGTCTCACTGTATAAGATGAACCCGACGGACCACAGATCCACTCGAGCGTCATAATGCCGTCTGCACACCATCTCAGGAGCCATGTAGAGCGGAGAGCCTCTCAGAGCCTGCTGCTCGTCCCATGGGCTCATGTACTGCGCAAAACCAAAATCTACACACACAACCGGTTATTCACCTTATGAGATGCTGAGAAGTAAAATCACAACAGACTCGTGCAAATGACGTCAGACATGTGAACAAAACACCCCTGTGAGCCTCTAGAAAACACCTGTGAAAAATCAATCCCGAAAACTGCTTACACACACAATCTTCACTTGTCACACAGTTTCTGAAAGCTGGCACTCAAACAGCAGAAGCATGCACCAAATCTGCAAAACCATACATTATATTCTCAGCCTTAGACTCGGTTTTCAATTTCAGCTTTTTGCAAAACACAACACAGTTCTCTATGTAACACACAAATCTAACAGGAATTAATATAATGCAAAGGTGTTTGCTTTTGAGATGTGTTTGTGATATTTTGAATGCAGTGCTTCGTTTTGCAAGAGATGTGCGGCATTTTGCATTTTGTGTGCAGTTCTTGGATTTGTGTGTAAAGTTTTGAAAAAAAGGCAAAGTTTTGAAAAGTGTGTAAGCAGTTGAAACAAACTGTAACAGTGCATTAGACCTTATTTTTACTGACTTTTCTTCAAGTGTAATAATTGTGCTGACAGTGATGTGCTGGAACATTAAAGTTCACGTGTCATGAAGTTTCACCTGCGAGCTTCAGCACGTTTCCACTCAGCAGAATGTTCTGTGGTTTGAGGTCCAGATGAGAGATGTTCTTCTCATGGAGAAACTGAAGAGCACATGCTAAAACACACACATGAGACACATCATGTCTTCTCATCCGAATCAGTCTGTATCAGTCATTTCATCATTGTGTGTGAGTGTGAGTGTGTGTGTGTGTGTGAGAGTGAGTGTGAGTGTGTGTGTGTGTTTTCTGCTTTGTCCGTCATTGGTTATTCAATTATTTAGCTAAATTGTCAAAATACAATTTTAAATAAAAAAGTTAATTTAGTATTTTACATTAATGTAATTACATTAATGTTACAATTAATAAATTACATTTACAACAGCATGTTACATTAATGACGTTACGTTAGTGACACTGTGTAAATATGTTAAAATTAATGTTACAACAATGTTACATTTGACAACATGTTACGTTAGTGACACTGTGTAAATATGTTACAATTAATGTTACATCTGACAACATGTTACGTTAGTGACACTGTAAATTTGTTACAACTAATGTGTTACATTTATGACAACATGTTACATTAGTGACACTGTAAATATGTTACAACTCATGTGTAACAACGTTACATTTGACAACGTTATGTTAGTGACACTGTAAATATGTTACAATTAATGTGTTACATTAACATGTTACATTTATGACAACATGTTACATTACTGACACTGTGTAAATATGTTACAGTAAATCCACATTGTTCTTAAGGAAGGCATGCAGTGTAAGACAGTGCACACATTACTAAATGCTGGGAATCTTGTACCTGGAAGTCTTTGAGCTGCACTATGTGAGGATGCCGGACTGTTTTGAGGATCTCAATCTCTGTCAGCAGGTTCTCCATTGAGCCTTTATTCAGATGTAAATATGTTACAGTAAATCCACATTGTTCTTAAGGAAGGCATGCAGTGTAAGACAGTGCACACATTACTAAATGCTGGGAATCTTGTACCTGGAAGTCTTTGAGCTGCACTATGTGAGGATGCCGGACTGTTTTGAGGATCTCAATCTCTGTCAGCAGGTTCTCCATTGAGCTTTTATTCAGACTTTTCTTACTGACCACCTTCACAGCCACCGCCTCCCTGCTGTCAGTCTGAAACCAACCAAAACATGCAAATGATCAATAAAACAAACAATCACTCAAATAACTCATAACCATTCAAGTAAAACAATAAAGTACCACGCTAACAAGAAAGTGATTGATCAACAGTCTCACTGAAGCATGTCAAATATGCTTCTGCTAACGAATAATCAGAGATCAATAATCACTCGCCTTTCTGAAAGCTTTATAAACGGTCGCATATGTGCCGCTTCCCAGTTTCTCTGTCAGAATAAAGTCTTTGAGCTTCGGAGGAGCGAAACCCGCAGCCATCCTGAACTCAATCAATCAATAATCAATTACATTTACAGCATAACCGCTGTCCTTCTGCCCCAATCACAGTCATTCAACCGCGGGCTGCTGCCTTTATGAATGATAACCATATATTATTTAATACATGGTCAGATGATCGTAAACATTTCATAAACGTGTTTACATATGAAGCGGTCTGTTTACTTCCGCGCAGTGACGTCATCGCCGCTGTCACGCACGTCACTGACACCTGCCGGCCAGATCGAGTACTGCATGATGTCGTTTAATCCATACATACACGCAAAATCAAATTAATTACTGCAGCTTGTGAACTGTAAACGAATATTTGTAAACATTTCACTTTTGCTGAGTGTGACGGTCATTATTGTCACTGTTGACAAAAGTCTGTTACATGCATTATTTTGTTTGCAAGAGAGAAATGACTATAAATGACTCAGAAGTGTATTTGTGTTCTCATGTGTCACGCTGTTGTTGTTGTTATAGAGCAGAACGCGCAGAACGGCACGCAGCTTTGACGCTACAGTATAAAGTGGGCGGGGCGTTGCCTCTGATTGGTCGGATACATAATAATTCTTTGATTTGGACTCTTCACAGCGTGCTTTAAATTCAATGATTATTCGAGTCATTATTTATGTGCAAATTATTGACCTGTAGTTATAGTTTTTATATTAAATATAAACAAAGAAATAAACAAGAAAACAACCTGATTAATGACAGAAAAGTTAAACTTTTTTCTTTTTTTTCTTTATATATATATATATATATATATATTAATTTTTTTTTTTTTACAAAAGTAGAAAAATAACTTAAATTCTAAACAAAGGGGATGTATCTGACAAACTGAATGAAGCTCTGTTTCTTTCTCAGTTTTACAAAATTCACATGAATTTTAGAGGTAGTTGGATAGATATTATCCAGTAACTTAAAATGTACTTTCTGTTAGAAGTACAATGTTTTTCAGGAAGTAACCCTGTTTTTTCCCGGTGAACACTGCCTAAAACATTGTTTACATCTACAGCATGTGTGTAGCAATTGCTTCATATGTTTATTGTTAAATTTTTTATCAAGAAGCTAAGCCCATTTCAAAGAAAGTTTGGGCATAATGGTTTTTCTCTCGTTAAAGCGAAGCACTTTTATTTTGAATTTTCAGCCGTTGGGACTTTTACGTAAGCGGAAGCCGGAAGTTGAGTCCATCGATAGTCCATTCGGATGCTAGCGAACGGCTTGAAATGGGTTTTTGAACGCGAACGGAACACAATGAGCTCGTATTTGATGCTGTTTCTGCTGCTGCTGGACATTTACTCCAAATG